CCTGACTTTCTGCTGACGTTCCCCGGGGCGCAGCGAGACTTGCCAGCCGCAGCATTCTGAAAGGCCTGCGCTGGCCTGGGGGCATGAAGCACACTTCTCCTCGCAAAGCTCACTAAATCCTCCCTACAATAACGCCCGCCACCCGCACCATCTCACTCGCTCCATCCTCAGAGCTGACAGTCTATTTGATCCTCACTTTTTTTGATGATGCTCTCCAAAAGTGTTTTTTTTCCTTGTGGCCGCTCTAATTAATAAATGTATCTTTGGTGCACTTGAGGTAATTAGCGTTGTGTTTCGCTGGAGGACCAGATGGTGAATTAGAATGGAAGCGAGTTGCTCAATCAGCTGCTGTTTGTCTGGTGTCATTAATTATCAAGCGAAGTATACGTTCTGCTCCCAAAAGTTGATACTTTGGGAAAAGAATAATATTGTGCCTTCTGTTGCTCATTACTCCTTAAAGCAGAGCACAGGTAGGGACGGAGAGAGTGCTGCTGCTGTCGGGTCTCGATCAACAGCTGCCAGAGGCTCTGCTAGAGATGACAAATGCATTTGGATTGGCCGTTACAAGCCAAATGGTTTGCTTTCACACCTAGTTAATTGAGTTAATAAGGTTAAGTTACTCAGCAGTTTTATATACAAAGTGTTTTAGAATGTTCCGTTCAGAAGTTCTCTTCTTTTGAGGGTTCTTTAGTAAAGGCAATGATGGTTATGCATTAAATTGTCTTTTTTTCCCCCAAAATGTACGCTGTTGAGAGCTGCATTACACATATAGTAAACATCAATGCTATATTATGATTGATACTACCTCTACTAAAAAATAAAAAAAATGTTTTTTGAGTGCGTTAAACGTCAACCGTTATGGAATGACACTTCATATAGAACCATGACAACTCTGAACCATTTGAATGCTTGAATGGTTCTTTGCATGGCAAAATGGTTCTTCTCCAGAACCTGCTGTATATATTACATATATTTATTCCTTACAAAACCTTTTATAAACAGTTCCAATATTATTATAAACCAAACAACCTTTTATTATACTATACAGAACACTTTGACAAGAATGTACTCCCTCCAAAGGCCCAGAGACGCATGCTAGCTCAGAAGGCTTATAGGGTGTAGGGGCTGAAATTACACCTGCTGCCACAGCTAATTTTTTCATTGAGTGCTAACACCACAAAGAACAAAATGTCCATTGGTAAGTCCCTATAATGTTCATTTAGAACAACCCTTAAAGCAACTGTTTTTGTTTCACTTCAGTTTGTAACGACACTTGTTTCTACCTGTTATTTCAAATTTATCATTTGTAAGACTGGGTTCAAGTTTTCAAAAGCCAAGGAATTCCCCAATCTGCTATCCAACAAGGTCTCAAAAAGCACACAGCAACTACTACCTGAAAACCAAGACATAAAAACAGGAAAAGTTTACCTTTATTAGACTTTAAGTCAGGAATCAGTTGTCCACTGCTCGACTCGACTCTTGCTCTTGTCCTCTTCCATTCCAGCCTAAACAAGACTTCCTGGTTAATGTGCGAATCTTCAGAGAGCACCTGATGAAAAACATACGAGCAGCCTTAAGGCCTATTATACCAGATACGATAAAAAAACGGATGCGAATGCGATTCAAACTAAGTCCGAGCGTTTTATTGTCTAAACACTCTGAAAACGCAGGAAAAAGATGGAAGAGTAAAAGAAATGGATTCTTTGAGCTGCAGTGAGGATGAATTAATTATTTTTATGTCATTGGGGAAATTCAGTGCTCTGCTTCTGTTTGTTGCTCCTCTCGTTAAAAAAGGAGCGTTCATTAGCGAGGAAAGCTAACATTATGCTAATAGTTCGTGGTTCTGTGTGAACATAAACAGACTTGAATCCACCTAGATAAACAAAAAAAAACGGCTCTACAGAATTGCTGTAACGTACTCATCGTTATTCCTCAGTCGTTCACCTCAGGTCCGCCACATATTTTCCTTAACCTCCTCATTTTATAACCATCTTGTCGTTTAAGCTGCTGTGCTATCTGCTAGCTACAGTCCACATTGGCGTCCTGACGCTCGTTTGTTTGAGCTGCAACCGTTACAAGGAGGCTTGATCTGATTGGTCAGCCAAATTTTAACGCTTTCGTACAAAGCAGAAAATGGAGCGGCCTCTGAAGTCCGTCAAATTCGGTGCTCAGATTCGTTTTTAAAACTTGAAACGTGCATTTTTTCCTCTATAAAACTCGTTTCCGGAGTGAACAGGCCTTTACACCGCATCGCCATTCCGTCGCTGCTTGTTTGGATGGATTACGTCAGAAAGCTACCGTTAAGTGCTCTAGATTCAGTTTGTTTTCACGCCATCGAGTAACGTCCTGTCTGACTTCAGTGTCCAAACGGCGACTGGAACGCTGTCAGTATCCATTTAAGAACACTCGGACATACCCGCTGTCTCCGGTTTCGTTTTAGGTACGGAAAAGTTTCAAATTTCAAAATTTCTACATAATTAAATGGTTAAGATGTAAACAAAGTCATTCAGATTGGTTTGAGGTGAAGTGCGTTGTTGTATAGAACCTTGCCGAGTCAGAATTGTTTACAGTGGTGATAGGAACCAGACGTCTGAAGAGTTTAATACCTCTAAAAGCTAAAAGTTATTACACAAAATGCTTATGAATATGCTGCCTGATGCCTGAGACATTGTTTTACAGTAGTTTTGTGCTAAGGTTTTGGCCTAAAACATCTTGTTAATCCATTTATTTTAATCCATTCATGATGGAGGGATGCATGCAGGGCTTTGCAAAATAGACCCCAAAGAAAATTTATTTTTTCAAATTTTCCACTATTTTACCATCTTTAACACTAAATATATAAACTCAGAAGACACGTGTAGGTTCACTGGTGGTTTTTGATAGTAAATGAAATGGTTATATTGACATTGTGACCCCTGGTTCCTGTCACCACCACAGAAAAGAAATCTGAGCCTGTAACTTTATTTACTGTGAACCATTTCACGTCAAACCATTCTGAATTACTTTGTTTACATCTCAACGACAGAATTATGAAAAAATTCTGTGGAATTTCCCTTTATTGATAATTCATTCGAGTTGTAAAAGGTCTGTGTATGTTAGAAGAAAGGGCCACAACACACGAAAACAGCATAACACAAGCATATTTTGCTAGGCCTTCTAGCAAATGTTGCCCAGCGGATCAGGTTTTTATATCAGAGTGCCAACTTTTTAACAAGAGAAAATAAAGCTGACATTATGCTGAAAAGAGTAGCTCAGACACGGCCATCACTATTTCCAGTCATGAATGGACGGTCTAAAAAGTGGACCAAGTGGACGAGTTTATTAGCTCGGTTTACGATGGATTTAGCTAAAGGAACAACAGATAAAGTGAGCTGTAAGAAGAATGCATCCTTTAAGCCTACTTCACAGGACCTTCACATGCTAAAGAGAAGGCTGGGTTTGGTTTGAAGGTTTCATGAAGCAGAACCCAACAGTGAAGATCAAAAAACCTGAGTCACTTCCCACTGCCAGAGCTGCTGGAAAATTCGATTGCAGTTTGTTCTCTGCCTTCTCCTGAGAGAGAAAATGGAGCTTTGATCATTTTTGGACGTTTTGTTCACAAGAAATCGAAAAGAGAAACTCCAATATCCTCCAAATGTCCAGCATAAAAGCAGCTTGACCAGACTTTAATAAATATCAACAACTTTGTACAAATAACCCCTATTTTGGCTGTGAGAAATGCTGGGATCAGCCACAATAAATTGCTTGTTTCAACTATTGTCTCAATAGAACAATCTGTTGAGAACTGGTGATATTTACTAGAAAGTCAATCCGTTTTTGAGCATGTAGAATAAGAGTTTCCCACAGGGGTCTCTAACACCAAAATGACCAAGTAGAAGGGGAGTGAGAGCACAAGGCTTGCCACTCATCATCCAGCCCCATTATATTTGTTGGGATCCTCACATCTGAATCTTGATTTTTGTCTTGATAATCTGGATGGCACATCAAAAACATAATACAGTCTTTAAGATCCATGTGCATCGATCTGATGTATCTGTGTTAATTTGAAGTCACTTTGTAATCATTGTGATTTCAGGGTTTCTGTGGCTTCTTGGAGAAGACCAACATAAATGCAGCCTGACCAGTTACCAGCTGTTTGGTAGCTCAGAGATGTGATGGATCATCACTTGCTGATGTGGCTTTATCAAGTAGGAAGATTGCAGGGAAGTGGAGTTCTCCAGTTTCCAGTTCCATTGTGTGGAAAAGGGCACACTGAGGGAGACCTCCTGCCTGTGCGTGGTTGCCGAGCCAAAATGAAAGAAACAGCTCTTTTCTCTGGGGCTAAACTGCAGCATTAATGAAAAAAAATACAATCGGATCCCTCTTCTTTAAAATTTAATGCCTACTCCTGCCATATTTCTCAAAGCAGAGAAAAGGTTATTCACCCTCACTGTGAGATTCACGTACCGGTTGAATAATAATAGCAGGGTATTACGTTTCAGCTGGACAGATATGCTATCAGATGTAGCACGTTATTTCTAAAGACATTTCTGCTTTTTGAAAGAGCAGCGATGCTGCTTTTGTTTTAATTCATATGCAAAACCTGTCAGAACAATTTATGTATGTTAGGAAACAAGACTCTGCAGGATTATCATCATTCATTTCCCAGGTTCGTGCAGAGTTGGCAAAAACATAAACATCAGCCAAAAATAACTGACTCTGCAAGTGAGTCATCCATAACAATGCACCTTTTCAGGTGCTTATAGAGATAATATGGAAAATTCAACAAACGTTGCTCAGGTTCAATGCAAAATTAACCTACACACAGATACTTGAGTTTCATTAGATGAAATTCCTTAAGGGACAAACTGCTGCCGTGAAGCTATTACTAGACTATTTGCAGAGAATCCGAACAGATTACTCACGCATGGCTCTTGCTTGAGAGTTGATTTCACATTCTTTCCTGCACAAACACGCTGCACAAAAGGAGGAGAGGACAAAAGAGAGGGGCAAGTTTGGGGTATCCAGTGCGTTTCTTTGAAACACATTTCCCTTTATTGGCATGGTGAGGCTGATGAGAATTGCACATAAAAAATAAAATTCACAAGAAAGATAGTACAATAGGTAGAACCACAAAGGCATTGGTAAGGACTCAGCAGAAGGCAACATGGATAGGAGACAAAAAAAAGGAAGGTAACAACGAACAACCCCCTCCCACACCTCCCCCCATCCATATAATCACTATAACCACTCACATGTGCTCTCATTCATACATACACACAAACACACATCTTTTCCTTCCAAACAAAATATGATCATCCACATACAAATGTCTACAGCAGTGGCAAATCCCTCAGTAGTTCACATTAGTAAAAACTCTGCCACACAGTTGAAAAAAAACCCCGCTGGGGATTGTAATATATTGCTACTCTAGCAATTTACAAAGCATTTTTTTATATCACAATGATTAAAGCCACATATCAAATGGGACATGACACCATTACCCAAGCTCTGTGCAGAAAGAAAACACTACAGAAAGAACAAAGAAAGAAGGGTTTTCTCTCCCTTCTGATATTGCCTCTTTTTGCAGATGCAGTCTCATCTACACAATCATACTTCATGAAAGGTGTTGTGTGGTCTGTTGAGATTAATACAAAAGATCTTGGGCTCGTTTGAAAAGAGACTGGCTTTCTTATTACTCTCGCTGTAAATTGGACATTAATTGGACTAGAAACCACAAGGTTACCTTAAGTGTCACTTGGAAGGTAGTGTGATTTCTGGGCAGCCTCACAGTTTCTCTGATGTTATATTGGGTTACTGAAAATGTATAAAAACAAAGCCTGTTCTTTTTTAGTGTGACATTCAAAGAGAAACTGTAATCTACCAATACCAATGGCTTTACTTAAAGTGGACAAGAAGTATGGGAAACGGAGTTGTTCTTTTTCGGTTTACCCATAGGTCAATAGTAATGTGATATGTTTCTCTTTAGTTCTTCAAAAAGACACACATATCCAAACTCGAATGTACAGCACATACACAGGAGCAAATGATAAAAGTATTTTCTCAGTGTGATGACATGTACTAAGACACTGGAATGAGTCCCCCATGTTTAGACAGAGTCTGGGTACCAGGTCAGGTCAAACCATACAACAACATGAGCTAAAATACAACTTCGAAAAATAATTTATTGCTTTTTATTTTTACCTTTTTTATACATGTTTTTGTCTTTCATTATTACTATTATTTTTTTATAATTATTGTGAATAATGTGAAGATTAGTATTATATATAGTTTTTTACACATCAAATACAAGATTTTTTAAAAAATTCAGGAAAGGAAACTGTAAACTTCAGTTTGGCATTCACATAACCAAGCGTGTGAGGAGCAACGAGACAGATTGTGGGATGATAAAATACCCGCAAAATGAGTTTATTGCTTTATGTGTTGTAGAAAACAAAACAGGGGATGATGATCTGATACGGCTGCAAACCACCTGACAAAGTAATCACTTTTTTCGTTAAGAAATCATCACTGTAGGACAGCAGAGTTCATTATGTGCCTAGAGGTGATCACATAAACTGTTTTTTTGTTTCTGAAAGGCATAGAAAATAGATGATATTTCAACAGAATATTGTACATCTTTCTCAGCAAATGTTAAATAACAAATCAAATAACAATATAAATAGCACAATTTGTATTGCACATCATAATAGATGGCAACTATAAATATTTTGATCAGAATACTGAAATAAATACATCTTTTCCTCATGAAAAATGAGTACGAGTTTCTCTGCGTTTGAGGAAGAGCAATCATCTCTTAGTGAAAGTGAAGTTCCAAAATAGCAACAATAAAAATGATTGGTGTGCACAGAGAAATAAATTAAAAGCTTATTGATTCCTTCAAAAGTCTTGGGCTATTGTTTTATACAGTCATGGAGATAAAAACATTAAAATATACATAGGCTGTGTAAGAAAAACACTGAGAGTTTAAAATCAAACGAAACCATACATGACATAAAATTTTAAAACAAACAAAAAAAACTTTAAAAAACATAACAACCAAAAAAAATCTGTTCACATGCTCCCCCCAAGAGCAACCAATCTCCATACAAATTTTTACAATCATATCACGTCACCTAACCGCCATGTTGGTTATACATCATTGTAATGACCACAGATCGACATTCTCAATTAAGAAAATTTCATCTTAAAAAGGCTGCATTTTACAGTGCATAGCTGTAACAAATAAAGAACTTTGCCTTGATATGTACACAAAATAAAAATATTCCATTTAATAATATCTGTAAATATCTGACTACATTATTTTCCCCAAAATGTAGACAATATTATCTTGAACACCCAAGATATTAATCCCATACTCTTAACAATATTGTAACACCACATCCAAATACCAGGTTAAATAAAAAAAGGCCAAAAAAATCATAATAAAATAAAAACAGACTGAACAGGCTGCACGTTTTCACTCCTCAAAGCGCTGAGATTGGAGCAGTGCATGGAGAAAATTCGTGCGGAGATCACTGTCTCATACAGCAGCACAGCACACGCACATCTGTGCACTCCTCTAAAGGTTCATTGGCTATCCCCACAGGTAAAGTCTCACCTCAGCTTTGCAGCAGCTATGTTCATGTAAACTTTGCTTTGAGATATATATATATATATATATATATATATATATATATATATATATATATATGTATTTATATATATATTTATCTCTCTACATATTTATATATTTATTTATTTCCCTCTTTATATAGACTTTCCTTTTACACTGAGTGTAAAACTTCTAGTAGTCTCAAATTCAGAGGACTGAAACAACAGTGAGGTATCACAAATCCCTCTCTTTGTAGCCAGCAGGTCTGTTGGAGCTCGTTACCTTCTCAGGCTGCACTGGGCCTCACGCAACAAGCTGTCAAAATCCATAGAGTCATACTTGCTTTTAGTGGAAGCTGGATCAAAGTCGTCAGAATGGGAGTCTGAAAGAAGCAAGAGATATTGACAGAATTTGACATCAGAGCTGAGCAGTGACACTGGCCTCACGGCCAATTCTTGAATTTTAAACTCGCTGTTATTTCACTTCTGTGAAATAACTTGCTAAAACTACTTTCCAGTTCTGTATATTTTTGACTAGACTGTTCGAGTTGCTTCAGTCTTGAATACTACAAGGAATCCAAAAGGATAACACTGTAAAACTGCGAAGTCATGAAAAGCATTGAAAAACAACAAACTTTAGGCTCATAATTTTGAAATTTTGCTTAATCAGCCTTGTACACCTTGGCCCATGATATTATCTCACAAAACCTCTCTTAATCTCCAGCGTAAATGCCCTTAATTAAACTATGTCTGAGTGCAACAGCTATCAAAGCAGGTGGCAAAAATGAGAGGCCAGTCAAAGTCAGTCAGCATAGGGCATGTATTATGATTTGTAGCTACGATAATAAATACGGCTGTCTTATCTCTGGTGGCAGGCAGCTTCACAAATGGGGCCCCCACACGGACAGCGGCATAGTTGGGGTGTGTGAGAAATGGGAATGACCATGGCAGGCAGGAGATGCCAGTTGTGATCTAATACTATGGCTAAGGGGAGGATTGTGTCACGTCGCACACCTTGAAGGATGAAAAATGCCCCTGTGCTCTACTTAGAACTAATGGACAGTGTCTCAGAAAACAAGGAAGAGAGAGGAAAAGACAGCCCCAAGCTGGAGAGGAGGGCACTGCTGGGGTGCAGCATTATTCAAGTCACTTTTTCCCCCTCTTTCTTTCCTCTCTTTGTCAGAACCTGACGCTGCTGTTCTGGCCAAACGTAATGTAAAACCCTCCGTTCTCTGAAAGGAGCGACAGAATGAAGGTCTCTCCATCCATTTGCTCCAAGGTAGGTGGTAGTCTCCTAAACACAGTGCCTCTCGATATGACCCCGTAAGTTAACAAATGTCACCCTGCTTGGATCTGGAGAATGTATGATATCCACCATCTGACTACCTTTGGCCTTACTCTTAGCCATTGAAATACACTGTGATGTCCTCATTATTTGAGGGAAAGTGCTCTTGTTCCCTTCCATTGGCCTGCACAGCCATCAATGACACAGAGACAGATCTTTCCAGTGTCCATTCTGCATCCCTGACCTCACATTTTGCAGAAAATAAATGTGAAGTGGAAAATCAACCAACTATTAAGGCCACCACCAGACCTTCCCCGCTATAACAGGAGAAAATGATCTTGCTTTTGTCTGTAATGAGCATCTCCCAGTGCTTGTGTGTTTAGACACTGCCCTTAGGATTCCCCTACTTCATCTTCTCAATTTTCCATACCCCTGGAAAGACACTTGCCCCTTTTACCATTGAGATCATGGCTGGCTGTTACTTCACGCTCCTCCTTTATATAAATTATGATTAGAAAGGGTCCTAGCACAGTTTCCTGAGCAACCCCATTAACCCGTAATACATAATACAGTGTAATTCTCTATAGGTGGCCACTCCTGTATGCTATCGTGGACAGATGGTATGGGGCACATTTACAAGAGCGTTCTCTTTGAGATGGAGTGATCATCGCAGTTAGAAGACACTATTCATACATGCTTTTAAATCTCAAGTCATGGTAAGAGCATTACTTGAAAGAGAGAGCAAGAGAGAATAAGAAAGAAGGAAGAGGGAGGTGGGGGAGATGCACAGGAGAGATGCATTCTGAAGAAAATGGGGGAGAACAGAAGACAGAAAAGCAAAAGAAAAATGGAGAGCGTTAGGAGTAGATAGAGAACTGGCAAGATATAGAGCGATGGGGATAGAACTGATTAAATCAGACCCCCCAAGTCACAGCTCAGCCTCATCCTCAGCCTCTCTCTGTCTCCCTCCCTCGCTCTCTCCCTCCACGTGCAGCTCAGTGTCATGACGGTCTTGCCTCTGTTGAACATCCCAGCAGCTGGCAGCAGACAGAGGCCCGCTTGGGAAGAGTAAACTGATGGGACTTGACCTTGCCTTCCTCTCTTTTCTCTTCATTTTTTCAACCCCTTTTCTTCAGCCATCCAGTGAGGCAAAGCATGAAATATACATGTACATGTGTACAGTATCAAACCGTCACTGGGGCATCTCCAAGGCTCTACCGCACTGAATCACTACTACGCTGATTAACTGTCAAAAGTGGCATTCTGTTGGTAATGGTGTACCTTTTGCATTCCTCTACATGCTGCTATAATGCAAAGATGTATAGAGCTATGTTTCTATTTCGAGTTCAAAAACAGAGTGCCTGTTGAACTCCATATGCCCTTTTCAATGCCTAAGAGAAAGATACTGGCCTCGAGGGGATATGGCAAAAGCATCCTCTTTGATTTTAAGGCATCACTCAAGCCTTTTGCTTCCTAGCTATTTTCTCCTGCTTTGAAAGGCAGCCCTTTGTCTGTCGTGACTTCAGGCACTTATGTATGGCCGGAGCCAAGCTGGCGCACTTACCCAAGTCTGTGTAATTCGATTTGAAGAACTGCTTTTGTCCACCGAAGCAGAGCTCAAACTGAGGCTCATTCGACCTGCGCAAGGTGTGTCCATTCTCAAGGGCAGCAAAGGCATCACAAGTGTAGCGGTAGGTGATAAAGCCAAAATTGTCCCTGGATCAAGAACAGAAAATAAAGCATCAGACTATGCAGGAGACACCAGCTGGAGGCCTCAAGCTGATGTTTACACCATATAAATGCAAAACTGCAATCAATAAAACTATGATGAACTCTCTATTTTTGGGGGTCAAATCCTACTAATATTCAAGTCAGCCTGTCTTTTGTTGAGTTCAGCCAATTTTCGTATTTGGTTAGCTCTGAGGTTGTGAGAAGAAGCTGCACTTTCCCTCTTAATCATCTGCCAGTGGGGCCGAATCTAAACTAAAATGTTTTTTTTTTTCAGACAAAAATGGAAATTGGCCCTCCTTGTAACTTGAAGCAGTGTGCGCACACACAAACTGGCTGAAGGCCTTACCCGTCATGTCTCAAGTTGATGGCGCACTCCTCGATCTCGCCGAAGACTTCAAAGCGGCGCTTGAGCTCAGAGCGTGTGCTGTCGGCGCGAAGACGTCCCACGTACAACACCCGCCTCTCCTCCTGGTCATTAAAGGCAAGGCAGAGGGAAGGATTAGAGAAGTACAGCGCCTCTGTCTTCCCTGTCTTTCTGCCCTTAACCCTCGCTCCATGACTGTAATTAACATTCACCACTGTGGGAAAGCCAAGAGCAGTCCAGAGAGAGGGACTGGAGGACTCTCCTTTGTCTTTTATTCTCTCTTTCATCCTGTATGTGTGCGTATGTGTATGCAATAGAGCTAAACTCTTCCTCTTATCTGATGCGAGAGTCAATTGGAGCAGCTTTGAACAGCCCACTCATCTAGAATGTTCCAGTTCATGACAATTAAGCATTGACCATGGAAGTATGATCACAAGATAAAAGCGAATGGGAAATAGAACAGCTCTTCATCTTTCCCCCTTTTTTCCAGCCATAATGTACAGTGGCTGCTGTGGATCTTCTATGGAATAATGATCATGGGTCTATCAATACAGAGCCTCAAAGATGCTGCCTTTATGAGGCCACAGAATATGCAGCTGGCCTCAGCTAAAAGTGGCGCTGCTGCCACATTCATTCAAAAAAGCCGAAACTTTGAAGCTGAAAGGATTACTTTACTAGCTGCATGAGCATATTTCAAAGGTACTAAACTGTCACTGGGGTGGTACACCTCATGTTGCTGGAGTTAGTTGGGGAATATAATTGTACCATATTCTATTTCAGTGAATTTGTCTGTTTCCAGTCTTTTTATTGTGCTATTTTAAAGCGTTTGGTTATGAGAATGTTCAAATATGCACCTTTCCCCTGGGAAAGTGAAAGTAGTGTACCTGCAAACCTATTTAAGGTACACAATTGGACCTTAAGACCATTGTTGTACTTTTATAGCTACATTTACCATGTTTGTTTATTGGTGAATGAAAATGAACCTGTACCGTTACGTCTTCTGAGAGTATGGGATAAAGCCACAATAAATTATCCATAGGCATAAAAGAAACATATTGTTCCTCTGTTCTATGGACTAAAAAGGACAGTAAGGTCACAGTGCAAACAAGAAAGCTTAAAGAACCCACTAGGCTGAATATATAAAATTGGAGCTGTTTAATTCTGCTTGCTAATCATAAGACACAGCACAAGCCTTGGGCCATTTTTTGTATTACTGACATTATTTGTTTATGCACTCATTCGCTTACTTGCTGTTATCCATAAAATATACGAATACATACAATTTGTAGTCATGTCCAGAGGCCTGCTGTAACTTACACACGTAAATCAATTGCCTGGCACTAAACTAATGGAACACCTTGGCACATGATGCCATTCTCAGGTCACGACATTGCCCTTTCCTCTGATTAGGCAAACATATTACAAATTAACCAGAATATTCTGCTTCCCCACCCACCCCCTCCAGCCCCTCCTCCCTGCTATCACGTTAGTGTAGAAGACAAAAGTGTTTGCTGAATTGGTGGTTTAGTTGCTGACAGCTGATAAATGCAGCGAGGTTTTAAAGATGACACCCCGAGGCTGGCGCTTCATATGAAGCTCTCACATCCTCTGGCCCCCCAAACCTCTCCTGACAGCTCAGCCCGTGCTACCCATAATTGTCTCCCTGCCGCACAAGGGGGGTGGAGGAGGCGAACGGTGGGACCAAGTCACGCGTGCATTATTTGACGTGTGCATTTATCAGTGAAGGGCTGAACTGAGTTGGAAACCTGTCTCATTTCACACTCTGGTCAGGCAGAAATGAGGAGAGCAGAAATGATATTTTGTTTAAGATTTAGGGAATTGTATTTAAAATAGATATCTGCTCTAAGTCCACATTCAAGACTCGTATTTCCATAGCTTTGATTTGGGCCGTCTTATTTTAACACATTTTTTTTAGCCGCTGTCTAGTCGATAGCATTTAGCCCGTGGTGTGATTAATAGGATCCGACAACATTCTGAGACGCCACAGAGACGTTAAAAATACACAACCGGGAGATAAAGAGGAAACACGTGTAGCCTGAATGATTCAGAATTCTAGTTTTGCATGAACTCCCTCACTGAAAGAGAATGCAAGGAAGGCTGTGTGCTCGGAGCTGTCTGCAGGCATAGTCAGAGCAGGGAGTGGGAGACAGTTAAAGAGCTACATCTAGTCTGCAGAAATGTGAGATTCCAATAAGAAGGGCTGCGGCACCAAAAAAATAAATAAATAAATAAATACTAATAATAAATAAAAGGGGGGAAGGTGATCTCATGTTAACTCACTATTGCTTTTTGTCGTTGCCGCTCCCTCTGTTCAGCCCTCTCACCCTCCCGTTTTTCATAGTCCCGCTGATACTCCTCCCTCTTCAGCTGCTCATGCTGGTATTCTTCATAGCTGTTGTACCTATGAGAGAAAAAATAAAGACACAGATTTTTTTTCACAAAAGCAATCATGTGTGCACTCATGTTCTAACACTGGGTTCCTCATATAGGGTCAAAAATGGCCAGATCACAGTGGACTGAGATTTTATGTTTGTTTGTTTTTTTGGAAGCAAAGAAGAAAAACAAATGCATTAATAAGACGTCTCCCCGCATTGCAAAAGGTTACGGCTCCCATAGGAAGCACTCCTGAGGGAGCACGTCAGGAATTGGGCAGCTGCTTCTGTCAGCACAACTTCACATGCCATTACTTTCTGCTTAGTTTGAGCTTTGTGCCCAAAAGTGGAACTTTTTTTCTCATTTGCAAATGGCTGACTCCCTTTGCAAAAAATAGGATTTCAAATCTTGAAAGCAAAATAGGCTGCTAGAAGTACAGAGATGCAAAAGAATTTTGTTGGATATTTACCTAGGCCTCCGACCGAGAGTAGAATGAGATTGGGACTGAGGGCTTCTGCGAGTCCTGGATTTGAAAGTGCTGTTGTCAACAGTGTGACGAGACCTGCATGTCGAATAACAAAACACAGAATTTATATACATTTCTTATTTATTTATAATAGAATGAGTAGTAGCTTAGTTCTTATTGAATATCTCTCTTACACTCTTTCAGGACCACAACCAATTGAGTCTTACCTTACTTACCTGCCTTAGACTTACACTGACACATGCATATGATCTGTACTGGATCAAAGTCTGATAGTGCGGAGACGTCAGCTATGGCATATCAGAGTGGTCGACATAGACATCTATACTTAAAACTCGATTACTGGAGCAAAAAGAATATGCTAAATGTACATGCAGAAGACCTGTGGTCATCACCTATTGCTGGCAGCAGCCTTTTTGGGATTCTATTACATGTTATTGGGATAGATCTATTAAATGACAGCTTATAACTATATAGGAAACCTGGCATATCACAAATGTTTGTGAAACTCTGATGTTACTTCATTCAGAAGGTAGTCTAACAAGACAGTGTATTACCTCGGGAATGTCTGGGAACTCCCATTTTTTTGAGAGTTCTCTTTCAGTACTATTCCTTTTGCCTTTGGTGCAAAATCAAAGGCAGCACTATAAATATTGTCTCCCTCGTGTTCTGTGATGATGTAACCCCCTTTAAAGGGGTCCGGTACTTTCATCTCCCAGGGACCGAGTGGCTAACACTGATGAGCCAAAACAACAGCTGCCACTAAAAACAACAAAGCCCTGTCAAGCAGTGAGGGACATAATCTAAAATCCAACATAAAAAGGATGAAGGTGGCGATGCTAAGAGCTGTGAGGTCTTCACATACTCTCACAGAAGACTTGTTTGTTCAAGGAATGACAGAAACACATCCCTATTTCCTTCACGTGTGATCAAGACTACATGTCTACAAGACACCATTCAGAGAGGTCAATTTATACAGGTCAGTGTGCTGTCATAATTTTGAAATTATTTCACTCAAGATATATCTAAAGTTTGAAAATGCAGGTGGATTGAATAAACCAGCTCAGATTCTTGATATTGAAAACGCATTGCTTTTACCTCATGATGCCAGTGCCCTTTCATCTAGCACATAACGCAGGGGTCACCAGTGTTACCCAAAAATGGCATTGCAATCAAGCAGAATAACATGTGATTCCTCTAGTTTTATCAGCTGGTTTCTGTCTTTAAACAACTGAGTAGCTATATGAGGTGTGTTGTTGCTTGTTGGAATGAAAACCTGCAGCCACATGGCCCTTTGTGGGTAACATTGGTGTAACAAAGCATACCCCTTTCAGGATGTGCAACATAAGCTGTCTGCACTCAAATGGTCATGTTGAGAGACTTGAACTCTGAGTCAGTTGTTAAATTAGCAATAGGCTCAACACAGGCACCTTAACGAGCTGCATGCATTAGTGTCCGGTCCACTACAAACACTGAGACTATGATGTGTAAGTAAGATCCTTCATTGGTACCTACCAAGAGGGGGAGCGGCTGTCCGGGGACTGGGAACAGGAGTAAGGAGACCTAGAGAGGGATCTACGTCTGTGGTGTGAGGAAGACCTGGAGCGGGACCTGGAGCGTGACCCAGACTGGGGCCACCTGAAGTGCCGTGGAGAGAGCAGAGTTGAGGGTGGCGAGACCGAGCTCCGGGAGGGCGAGCTACTGGATGGGGAGCAAGAGGGTGAGCGTTCAAAGAGAAGCTCCAGCGGAGTCCCTTCCCACGAACAGAGAAGACGCTCGCGGCCCACCTCCAGATCCTCAAAGTCAGGCAAACCCGTGTGCATGTAGCTCCCAAAAGGGTAATAGTTTTCATCCCCGGAGTCACTTTCATCTAGTGGCTGGGATCCTGTCTGCTCAGCCTCATTGAAGAAAGCTTGCTGGGGGTTACCAAAGTGCTTATTGAGCTCATCCCGTATCTCCTGGTCTCGAAGCAGCTTCCTGCCAGCAGAGTTGCTCTCTGCTGAAGTTTTGGCACCCAAAGTGGGGTTGTGGTCCTGCCCCTGAGCCTCCTTATCTGGAGAAGCCTCCTGAACGGTGGGGGGAAGGCCCTGCAGCTGCCTGGCCAGAGAGGAAGACGAGGGGGAGACGGAAGACGAAAAGGATGTAGGAGTAGAAGAGGACGGCATGGCTGAGTCTTTACATTCTACATGCCGGCCCTCCACCGGCCCAGTTAGTGAGGCAGCTATGGTGCTGCCATCTCGTTTTGTGCTGGCAGACTGGCAATAGTCATGATCACCAAAGACACGGGGCGTGGGCCGCTTGCCCCGGCGCTCCTCTGAGCCTCCCAGAGGCAAGGCAGAGGATGCCTTGCTCAGCTGGGCATAAAGCTCAGTCTGCTCTGGGCCCTTCCTGCTGGAGCCACTGGATGGCTGAGGGCATGGGCCTCCATTGCTCAGCTTGGCCCTCTTGCTCGTCAGGGCTGAAGAAGAGCATGAAGACAGCTTGGTTTTGAGTGATACTTTGAAAGGGTTCTCTTGACTGGCTTTGTGAGGAGGCGTGGTAGGTGGTGTCAGACCTGCACAGAAGAGGGAAGACAGAGGATATAAATTCACAATGCTGTTTTTTACAGTGTGATGCAGTTCTGCCTGGAGTCCATCTACTCAGTCAGTGAGTACCCTTGATTAAAATATTCCTTTTCATTCAGCCCTAATCCTGATCCGTATTTTATTGGAATATTGACAGATTAATGAAACCTCAGATGGAAAACTGAAAGAGTACCAGTCACTTCTCCTGATTTCCTCCTGACCTTGGACAACCCCATTCATTAGAACGAAAAAAAAAAACACTCTTTCCAACAGCTACATCTTATTAGCAAGAAACACTGGAAATGCATAGAACTCTAAGGGTTCTTTGTAATAAGGACGGATTATGGCAAAAACATGAGAAAGGTCTTAAAAGATCTAAATCCTGCACTTGCGTGGATGTTGATGGCCTACTTTAGTACATGTATAAACTACATGCCTTTTAGTTTGGAATAAGAGCTCAGAGGCTGCAGGGGAATGTGTTATCATTCTCCTCGGCTGTGCCACCTCTTCCCCCTCATGAACCACGGCAGTCCTGACAGATTTATGTGGCACCAGATGGCAGCTATATGAGAAATCCTGAGATGTGCCGTTTTACGACATTGTTAATGCACTTGCACAAACAACTGAATGTAGTCCTTCCCCCTCTCTCTATCCCCCTCTTATCTCTTCCCTATGTCTTTCCTCTCTAGAAATGATTTAGATATTTGTCTGACAGTCTTCTGAGCTGTACACATCTTGCACATGTACAGGTCTGATCATTAGTAGTCAAGAGAGGCTTGAGGCAAATTTGAGGGTCAAACTCTAGCAATAGGGAAAGCCTGTCTCTTGTCCATAGCTCCTATAGCACCTTCTACAACTGTCTATGTACAATTGTGTATCTATTTGCTAGAAGGATGTGGTACCGATACCAGCCTAGCTGATGCGATATTTCAAATAAAAAAAGGCCCTTAATATAGATGTATTATTACAGTGGTGCAATGAGCTATGGAGAGTAGGGAGGAGGGGTGCTGCCAAAGGATCTTCTGCTGCACCAGTGAAACGCCATCTGGGCAAAACAATGCACACATGATCGTTAAAACTAAGAGCCATTAGCACCTTTGGAATAAATCAGAATTAGATAAATATATGCTGCTCAGTCAGTGATGGATGTGACATAGACACAAACACCAATCATCCAGCTGTGGGTTTTCTCACCTGTTTCCATCCGGGTGTGAATTACACAGGGACCTTCCAAACGAATTACTACCTAAAGCTTACGGAGCTGATCCCTGTGGTAATCTTAAAAAGCCATGCGAGGAGTGACACATGGACTGACCTGGGTGTCATAGATACCATAATTAAAGACACCAGCAGCCCACAGTAAATCTATTAGAGAGGAGGGGATTAGGGAGCAGTATTAAAGCTCCTGCTCTCTGTCTATTCTGCAGGTGTCTTGCTTCAGTCATTTTCTCCACATCAGCCTTAACTAACTTCAACATTCTCCAGTACATCATAACCACTGCACTGTTACTACCTCTACACTTAACACAGCATTACCTCAACTACAGCCGAAACTGCTGCCGAAGACTGTGTAAGGAAATGTGCCGATTTTTGCTTCCTAAATGGAAATTTTCTCTGACTAAAACATTTCTGCCAGTCTTGCTCTGACTCATTACCAATTAATCAGGTGTAACAGGAATTATCCTCTGCAGCTCCACATTATCTGAGCGTGGAGAGCTCAAGGTAGGCCATAGGAAGTAATAACGGTACAGGACCCTGGCAAGCTAATCCCTAAGTGGAAAGGCTCTACATCAAAGTGCTTACTTTAATGGCTGCTTTACACTAATATCCAATCCCAAATCTGTGTTGTGTAAGAGGTGCAGGATGAAAATTTGTGTAGCATAGCTACATTTAGCGCTAAATGGAGCTAAACTTTGCCTACGGTTAGGAGACACAGCCATGTGCAATAAATAAGGGGAAAAATTAACAGCCCCTGATGGCTCCTGAGCATAACTTCAGTTGCTCCAGGGGAGACCCAGTGTAACCTTTAACTCTTATGTAAACAAAAGATTGAGCAGCAGTTTTAACGAAGTCAAATAGAAGACCCCACAGAAACCATAGTTTCCCTCCAAATCTTAAGTCCTGTCAACCATAATACAAAGTGTCACCCTAAATCTCAGGGATGAGTCAGATCTGTGCATTGAGGGCCATTAGTTGGTGGTAAATGAATATCAAATGACCCATTCATTCTGACACTGCGAGAAGAAAAGGACAGCCATTTTGTTTTTATTGACCTGAAATGATTCATCTTTGCATGGGGGGTCCTGAAATAATTACCTGCATGATTTACACTGAGAAAGAGAGAAAGACGAGGAGACATCTGCTGAAGCCTTGTGTTTAGCCTCAACAATCATTTTATTTGCCTTTAATTACTCCTTTATCTACAGCTTTCAACAAAACAATTTATTAATAAATATATAGTGGACAGCAATGACGGCAGTAAGAATGATAAAAATCCCTTCATATTGACCCATTTGGTAAATAGCATTCTTCCCATAAATATTGGATTGAACATCGGAAATTACAGCAATGTCTCTAATCAGATTACCAGACGGCAAAGATACAGATACTATCAGCAAACTAGATTACACGCCAAAACTAATTAAAACAATACTAATGCTGCATCAAATTGAGTGTGATATATTGAGGGAGAGTGACTCCCAGTCAAAGAACATTAAGATCTAAATGAGAGGAGAACATGAACTCTTTGGAGGAAAGCAAAGAAACTTCCCTGTTTTTCTTTTTTCTTTTCACATTCATACAGTTTATATTATGCTGGTCTATCATGCCTGTGAATAATGAGTAAAATGCACTGATTTGCTTACCTGGGGTTCCAGAGATCTCCACACTCAATGTGCGTTCAATGGTCTTGTTCTCAAATGGAGATCCTTTGTGGTCACTGCAAGACATAAAAAAGAACTGATATAATCACAGTGAAGAGGCACTTTTAAACGGTTGTGTGGTTTTACAAATGGAAATGAAATCTAAAAAAAATGCCTCATGGTTGGAATAGATCACTTTCTTTGCTGCTTTAGTTCAGATTTTGTCTGCTCTACAAGAATGGTGGAAAAACTCTCACTTACTTTGGAGACTCTGGGGTCAAAGGAAGTGGCAAGGTGGTTGGTTTGGCTGCAGAACACAAAGGAGCATGGGTAATTAATTAACTAGATCACACTGTGCCTAAAAGATATCAGGTCCACATCTACAAATCAATTTAAGATTTTGATCATTAACAGTGATGATGTGGAACTCCCAACCCAATACAAAGTGGCTAGAGTTTTATCCAGCCAAAAGTTTAAAAGAAAGCTAATAGTTTCTAGCTTGACCCCATTGGTTTGCTTGCTTTTTTTGTCTCATTTTAGTCTCACTGCTCACTTTCTGAGGCAAGATGAAGTGATGGCATGTGTCCAGAAATCCAACCCATGTGAAAATTCCCCCACAACACGGAAGACAGAAAATGAAAAGAGAATGAGTTGAAAAGAAAATAAACAGCACACGCATTACAAATGGCAATGATGGAAACCGAACTGAAAAGTTAAATATTTGGCATGCAATTTAAACCAAAGCAGGAGAAGAAAGAAGAGTCGAGGAAGCATGTGCAGTTGCCTGAGGCTGCGACTGTCTCCAACTGTAGCTAGGGAGTTTCTCTCAGTTAGACAGCTATGTCAAGGCAGCCATATTTGCTTAAGACCACATGGAAATTCAGCACACTTTGCTTGTTCCATGCTGGAAATCGGTTGACTCCAATTGCATTTGTGAGTCAAGGTTGCTGGCTCAGCCGCCCCTCATTTTGTGTCAAGTGAAGGGTCTGTACCCATTCAGAATGTTGCCCTTTGTAAAGCATGATGCAACTGGTTGCATTTCTAGGGTGTCTAGTTTAAGTTAGCATCGGGGTTAGTCTGTAGTCAAACTGGGAAGCAGTTAGAGGAGGAGAGGCAGAAGAAAGAGAGGGTAGGGATGCAGCAATGTTTACCTAACAGTGGTGGGACCTGGTCATCAGGGTGCCTGCAGAGTGCCTGTCTGTGTGGGTTCTGCCCTTGTGTGGCGGAGGGGGTGTGCTCTGGAACTAAAGAGTCTGGGAAGAGTGGACTTGGCGAGCCCCAAGGGAATGACACAGGGCTGCCTACGACATCATTATAAACATCCACCCTATTTTGCCTCACTATATCTTTGGACTGTCCTGTCTCCTGCTCTGATTTCATTAACCAACTTTCTAAGTCCAAGTCAACCAGTGTTGACAGCTCAAGGTCTGATGGGTCAGCCTGACAAGGTTCTTGGAAGTCTGGAACAGGTTTTTTTCTGTGTTGTTCCTGACTAGCTTTCACTTTGTGCCCACCCCACCCTTCGTCTTTAGGAGTCATTTCGGGTGGGTCTTGCCTGTCCGTCTGGGGGACATTAGGCATCTGCAAGTGGGCCCGGTAACGGGCTGGCCTGGGCCTGGAGGTAAGCAGCTGGCTGAGCATGGGATGCTCTTGCTCTTGCCTCCTCTTCCTAATGGTTAACGTGATGTGCCTGTCGGCACGGCTGGCCCAAGTCCAGCCGCCCGCCTCAAGACAACGGCCACAGCTGCCTGCGCGACCCATCTCTCTAGGCGGGAGAGAGTAAGAGTGCATGTACCTAATGAAGCGGGCGGCGGCCAGGCTGCCTGTGTCTGCACCCGGCTGCAGGCCCGGCGGCCTCCCCTCTTCACTGGAGCGGGCGTGGCCACAGCCACTTCCACAGGATGGCACAACAGGGGCGGATTGCTCCCCATGTGTACATCGCCGCCAATGCCCTGCCCCCTCACCAGCCACACTACACGCTCCAGCTGCCTGGCTCTCACCTCTCTGGGCCTGCGCTGCCAGCTGCTGCTGCTGCTGCTGCTGCTGCTGCTGTTGTTGTGATGACAGGGAGGCAGAGGAGGTCTTCTTCTTTGAGGCTGTAGAGGAGGAGCAGGAGGACAGGGAGGAGAAGGAGGATGTGGATGAGGAGGACGGAGAAGAAGAGGACGAACAGGACGAGGTACCAGGCCCACCCCTGTCCTTGCCGCAGCCTGACCAGGTGCTCTTGGCTTCACTGGCTCTTGTCTGGAAGGCATCATCAGTGGCGGTGAGGTACTTGAGCAGCTCCGTGCAAGGGCGTCTCACCAGCCGGCTTGGCTGGGGACAGACGCCTCTTTGTTTGCTGTTCCAGGGGTTTTCCGTCTAGAGAGAGAGAGAGAGCAAGAGAGAAACAAAAAGCATAGAGAAAAAGAAAAAGAAGGAAAGGGAAAGAAAAAATCAGGAGTCAGCATAGAGGTGGTGTTGTACTCTGCACAGGGCAACACAAGCATGTATCACCCATCATCTTAATTACGAGGTCTTGGGATAGCTCCGGTGAGATCCGGATGCCAGCGGCAGGGGGAAGGCAATGCAATGTCCTCTGGGAGATTGCCATGTGCATCACTCCAGAAACAGGAGTCAAAGTCATTAAAGAAAATTAACTCCTCAAAGGGAAGCATGTGTGAATGTGGGTAAGAGGGTCACACATGATAAGTACAAATGACTAAGATGAATTGAGTCTAATTAACAATTTTACAATGTGATACACTTGATAAACATTGGTAAAAATGTAGATTTTGGGGTGTAGAGCATAACATAGCTTGAGGTGATAATCCAACTCTAACAGAACAGCACCAATGAGATTGTAGGGGTATTGTAATCTGTATCACTTGCTAAGATTTGGAGAAAATATACTCAGCTTTGGAAAGGCCTAAATCCCATTCCAAGAAACAAGACTATATGGTAAGAAGAGAAAAGAACTGGGAGACAAAGGTTCAGTACTTTGATGAAGTATGTGACACAAAACTACCTTGGTAACAGCAGGTGTTGGTCTGATCCTGTGGTTGCTGGCTGCATGGTTCTGTGCCTTGCCACCTGGGTATTGATTATAGCTGAGTTGGGAATTAGGGGGAGCCAAGAGGAGCTTCTTTAGCTGCAAATTAAGCACATAAACAATTAGATGATGGTATTACATTGAAGCATTAACAGTTGAAAAGCAGGTTTCAAAAATAATATATTTTTGTGGCATTCTTATGATTTTCAATTTTTTTTTTATTTCATTGCATGTTTAGTCTATGAGCCTATTTAGGCTAACTAACTACTACTACTACTTTTAATAATAATAATAACAACAAGAATTACAATAGTGATAATAGTAATAATAAAGGACAGCACAAAATAACGTGGGAAAGAAAGCTATCACATAGGTCTGGGGAGATGTTTGTATTATTGATATTAACTAGAAGCAAGTGGAACAAAAAATACTGCAAATACTTATAACTGTTTGTGCTAAAAAGTCAGCCCGAATCGAGTAAATGTTGTCATAACACATACCCCCATGCATACTTTTAATATTTCTGTGATGAGCAAAATAATGAGACTGGGGAGGTGACCGATTGGAAATAAATAAACACAGTGTATGGAAGAGAGATCCACACTGGTAGCGTCTTGGTTCAGATCCCTGTTGTGGTCTGAAACTATCTTGATCCTGGAAGACTGCAGATGTGCCTTATAACCCATAACAAGTACCACTGCTGGTATATATGGTATCCCTGTCACAAGGAAGTTTCTCACTTTTGCAGCCTTTTATCAAAGGTCACTATTTTCTGGAACTTTTCACTGAATCTGTTAGATGCAGAGATTACCAATGCACAGTAAAATGATGGCTTTCCTGATCTTTGCTGTAGTTTGACTGCACAGGGTGCTGAAACATTATGCCGGGACCACCACTGTGCATATGTGTCTTTCTGGAGTAATGTAACGAGCAATGCAGTTAACACTTCAAGAACACTGATCCACTTCGATTTGCTCTTTCATCTGTGCTGTATGGCTTAGTTCTGCCCACAGACGCCGTGCTGGGCCTGCCAGAGCTACTGCCTCCATAGCCTGTGCCCGTTTTTGGTCACAGGCCTGCAGCATGTCCTTATCTGGTGCACGCGAGAGCCAGACAGGGAGAGCAAGGGAAAGAAACAGGGAGAATGTGGCACTGAGAGAAGCTGAGTGAGAGTAAGAGACAGAAAGAGAGGGGCTGGACATGGTTCATGGCAGCAGGGGATTGGGGGCATGCAGAAGCAGAGGGAGCCTTACCAGGGAGGGCTCCTCTGGCTCTGGGGTGCGTGGCGAGCCATCAGGGGTGGAGGGACAGCTCTGATCGCTGGCGTTGGTCACGTCCCCATCTGCCAGGGCCTCGAACGAAGGCAATCCGTCCTCGTCCACCGGGATACTGTCCAGGGTTTCTGTGAGCACTGCCAGCAAGTTGGCCTCATTTTCCTCATCTATCTTCTTAGGAGGTGGAAAAGGAAAGGGGCGAGAGAAAGAACAGTGGGAGAAAATAGGACAGTTTAGTTTGGAGAAGTCGATTTCTGTCTGTCTCTATGTTGGCGCAAGCACCGGAGGGAGGGGTACTGCTCCATTGTTAATAGAATGTGGAGGGTTTTTTTTCTGCAGTGCTGTACGAGAAAAAGTGTGCACAGAAATTTCTTTCAACTACAAATTGCCTTAGCCACATGAGTCAGTGCTGTCAGTCATACATTAAGCATGCGGCTTACTGGACCAAAATAATATCTCCCCTAAGAAACCCATTAACTGGGCTGACACACAGCAACTACCCAGGGAAAGAAACAGGAAGGGAGGGGGAACAATGGATAGGAAGTTGAGTTGCTCCAGTCTCTAACTCTGTTCTCCACAGAAGGGATGCAAGTGGCTTGTCCACAAGATGTTGTGAACGCTTTACAGATAAGGCACAATTATCATCTGTTAATGCTAAATGAATGTGATTTTTTGAAAATGGCACTAGACAACTGACAATATAGACTGCGAGAGATCCATTGAGAATACAAAAATGAAGGCCATCCATTGCTCATTTACCTATGAAATAACAAATTTAAGTTGCTGAGACATTTTCCTCGTCAGCATGGGGGGTCATGGTAACATGGGAGGGGCAGTGCCTGAGGAACAGCACGGGCGGAGGAGGAGGGGTTGTGACAGGCCCTGGAAGTTCCACTGCCAAAACCCGTGGGACTTAGCAACCACAGAAGATAAACACCCAAACTGCTGTGGGTCATGGCACATACAGCCCAACAAGAACAAATCCTTTTATGCACACCACAGGATTAGTATCGCTTGCCGATAGCATTCGGGCGCAATCATTGTGGCTGCAGGCAAAGAGTCCTCTTTAGATAGGGGTATTGCGCTACTTAGCCTCCAGTCCCATGTGCAACGATCACCCTGTTTGATCCTCTTTCTATTCATAGTTTCCCCTGATTACATGCCAGCATGGCCTCATCTTCATAGGAGCAGCTTTTGAGAAAGCAAAACAGGGGCCATTCCCCATATCTCTCCTCACTTAAAGGACCCCAGTAATTGATAACATTGATTTGATGAACCACAAAGAAAATGCTAAGCGGAGCTTCACTGAGGAGATTTTGAGAGACGCTCCCTGACTGATTTGGGAAGACCTTTCAAGAGATTCCCTCATTTATTATCGAAAATGATAACGGGACAAATTTCAGAGATAACCAAACACCCACTGGGGGCTTTGAGATCTAGTGGTAAAACTGCGAGGAGTAAATTGTTGCCTATGAATTATCATGCTGGTTTAATCGCTGGTTAATGGCTCCCTGTCCCTTCCTCGGACCCCAGCAGCTCTTCAACACCTTATTTTAGCACTTTAATATATAGTACATTATGAGCACCAGCAGCCAATATATACTAAAGCCTTCTCCTCATTCTAAAAAGCAACTCCTCAGCAAGCTAATTACAACCCAGATCATTTAGTATTATTTCCAATGTTGCTATAACCTTCCTGAGACAGGTATGGATGAAACCTATCTTAACAGAGATCCCATCATAAGATGTCAGTGGCACCAGAAATGTCCAGATCTCCAGCTTCTATGGCAGAGAAAGGCTACCATCACTTAGTGCTCAAAGAACTGCACTCTGTGGCCCAGGCCCTTTACTAGTGAACATATCTTTTACAACGGCACAACACCACAGCTACAATCACTCAGAGCATAGTGTCTATTCCTAGCAAGGGGACTTCTTAGAGGACACATGGCCTTTGATTGCACAACAATCAAAGGCACTGAGTCATACCAGAAATTGCATTCCTGTCACTCTATCTTTCACCACTCTGTTGCCACTACCAGTAGTCTACAATCCAAAAGCTCCATTCAGACTGGTGTAACTGACACTCAAAATGAAACAGAGAAGCTATAACCTGTGCCAAGGCAGATGCTGAAGGGAAGATTTGCCAAAAAAATCACATGCAATTTTTGATAGGCACGTACACCTCCATTGATTGCCCACAGCAAATGCTGCAAGGCTGGACTGCAGGGGAAAAAAGTAAAAATAAATAAATAAATAAAAAATAGCCAAGGCCTACCTATCGCATTTAATGGGCCCAACAGAATTAAAGAGATCTTAACAATCGTGGGCTAATTGTGGGATCACAATATATTAACCTGCTTCAATTCTAAAGGGTGCCATTCACGGCTGTTTTACTCCAAATGCTTCAATTAGCCATAAAAGATTCTAGCAGGCACCAGGCGCCTTCACTCCATCTCCACCTCTATTTCCCTCCCCCTTACCCCCCCCCCTCCCTCAGAGGCAAGGCAGCGCTCACGAGTCGTTCATTATCAGGTGAGCCCTTTTGTTATCAGACAGGCTGTCTTTGAAATCGTCCTTGCTTCAACTCTTTTATTGAGTTCCACCCAAGCCATTGTGTTCCCAAGATACAATTCATGCCACTGATAACAGGCAATGCTTTTTTTGCACTCCTAAATATGCTTTTGCACTCCAAGGCAAATAGTGAACATTTAAGCAAGCACTAATTGTTATAGTAAGCCACCTTCATGTCCCCAGAAAAGGCAAAAGAGATCATGCTTCGTGTGTGTAAACAGCCTTGCACATGAAGAGGAAAAACATTCTAAGGATAATAAAATTGAGGGCAGTTACTCGGAAAGTTTTACAACCAAAACCTTGCACTGGCAGTGTAATGAGAGAGACTAAAGACTTGGTGTGATTGAAAGTTTTCAAAGAGATCCATCTTACCTCAAATAGGCTTTATCTCTCTTCCTTTCTCTCTCTCGCGCTCACTAACATCCACTAAGATTGAAAACGTTTAATAAACTGGTCTGCAGTTTGCTTGCAGTTAGCCACAGCTTTGACCATTTAATTGCAGTGAGTTTCGTAGGTGTCGCCCTCACAATATCAAAGGCGCCAGATGAGGTTAACTAAGTTGCCAGACCCTCTAATCACAACACGAGCAGAAACATGGGTGTGTATGTGTGTAGGGGATTGAGTCCTAGTGTTTTGGGCCCAATGGAGAAAGTACATTAGATCTGATAAACAAATAATGTCAGTCTGTGTTATTAGTCTGCCCCCTGATTTCACAGCAAATAAATCAAAGTCATTCAAAGCAATATGTGAACTGTGCTCACACACAACAGGCCAGCCACAGCAACATTACTTAGGCAGGGGTTTGTGATGGAAGACAGAGACAGAGCTGCTAGATTAAGAGAGAAAAGGCAAGACATTTTGATATAAAAGGGCTCTCAAGCAAGATAAATACAAACACAAAAGTGCTACTTTCAGTCATTGTACAACATGTTGGAACCACGATGTCAAACACGTCGAAAACCTACAATAAAGAGCAAATCCCTGTAATTTCACATTATCCATCATATTCTAATGTGTCTACCAGATAATGTCACAGCACATATAAAAATGGCCTAGCATTCATCTGTCAACCGCAAAAATAGGATTCGGCCAGTAGAATGACTAGCACTATTTCAAACCTCATTTCCCCTGCAAATGATCCTGCAAGCCGGCCACTGATGCATGCTAGCTCCAGAGGCAATGATCACAGCACGCCAGGCTACCACATGGATTAACTTTTCATAACGCTCACCAACATTACAAGCCACCCCCTCCCTGCCCTGATGTAGATGGGCATGGAGTCTAAGGATCTTCACTTTTTGATTGAAAACAGCCAGCCAAAAAAAACCCAGCATGGCGTGGATCTCTCATCCTAATGGACTTGAAAGCAAGGAAGGACACAGCGGTGCACACTGGAGTAATTCTCGCCAGTCAAACGTATTGACGAGCGGCACGATTGCTTATTGGATCACTCCATTAGTGTCAATAGCGCTTTTAAAAAGGCACGCTTAAATGGAGCACACAGCCAGCGGTGTCAAGTCGCATGCTCTCCACTTGGTCCCTCTCAATGGAAATGACAGATTTGAGTGATATCATGTTACTCTGAACACCAGGAGAAGAGGGTAGAAAAAAAATCACTCATATAATGCTTCACTACGTAACTTGAAAATCTCAGATACAGTAAATTTGTAGCACAGGGAAAAGCATTATTAACTTAATACCTTTTAAAAAAAGCTTACTGCTTCAATCATTAAAAATGGTCCCACAACATCAACCACGGCTGACGTTTGACATTTAAATTGTGTAAAAATAATTAGCAAACGACAAAACAGAATTATGAAGTTATGAAGTTTCTTTATGACAGTCACAATTTGATGTATTAATTGGAGAACAATCCTAATTAGACTGGTGCAGACTGTTTTGAGTGTGAGAGAGAGAGAGAGAAAAAGAGAAAGCCTTCAGGCCTCAAAGGGGGCCACAGTCCTCCGCCCACCCTCTCTGACGACAGCCAGAACTCTCAAGCGACCACAACATGCTCCATGGAGAGATGCAGCACACGCACATACAGTAACCTCCCATCTCCAGAGATAAACAGAGAGAGGGGGAACAAAAAAGAGTAACAAAGCAACCAAGATTAAAAAGCACACAATGACACACAAAGAGGAGGGAAAAAAAAACAAATGACACGAAGAAAGAAAAACACTGCAGCATCTTGAGCCTCTGTGTACCAGTTTCTGTAATGTTTCTCAGCCGCCGCACTACAGCAGATGGTCAAGTGGCCGCTTCTAATGCTGTTCTAACAGTGTGTAATGTTTGGATGCTCAGACATATTGTTGCTCTGCTTTTTTTAGAGTGTGCCGCTGCAGCGCTGCCAAAGCACTCTCATGTTCCTCAAGAAAAGCCTTTTGCTGGGATCAAACACTTTAATGGATGCAGTAAAAAAAGAAAAAGAGAGAATGCTGTGAAAAGAAAGGTGAAAGCACTATTTTGAAAGATGGCAATGAGATCTGTAGTACTGGATGATATATTGTCTGAACCATTATAGCAACACTGGTGTCAAACGTGGTATCCAGGACCTAACAGTTAACCACAATTAACGTTATTTCCTGGGCACTGGATACTGA